TAAACGGCCTCATTGCTTTTAAAAATGACTTGATAAACATAACCAATAATTTGTAAATAAGAAATTAATTTCTAACTGAATTTTCTTGGGAGACGAAGTGTTTCAATCATAGTGTCTTGTTTGTTCGTTAGCTGACTATTGACATTGAGAAAAATAAACATCAAAACCGAACATTAGCAGACAAATGCAACATAGCCATTGTAACGAATGTGATGACAGATGCTTGAAACTGAAGAAGGACACAAAGTTAAAATCGAAGCACTCATTTGACTAAAAGCAAAATCTACGATCGCTTCAACAGCAACGAATACATGCCATGAATGTATTATCTTTTCAGGATGGGATCGATCATGAATCTCTACAACTTCCAATCATTTAAACCCAAATAACTCTTACGATCACCGAAGTTAAACAACGTGGAGCATGGTCAGTACCTAGACGGGTGACTGCTTGGGAATACCAGGCGCTGTTAGCTTAGATGTGCAGGTGGTGCAATGGATAACGTCGCGGAATTTGAACTCGAGTATTCAATTTCTAATTTCAGCCGGGTTCGTTATTTTCACTTATGCACAATTACACTTGGGAAACGAGCGACCAGGCATTACATTATATATATATATATATATATATATATATATATATATATATATATATATATATGTGTATATATATATGTATGTATAGTCGATACTCCCGTCGAATTCGATGCATGAGGGTCATGCAGATCAGTTCCCAGGAAACCGACAGCTCGACAACAGCAAATGAGATTTGATTATAGTGGTGAAGGTTTCGTGCAGGACCATCCACACTTTATGAAGGGCCGATTACAGAGACCTGGTGCCAAACGACCCTCCGCAGGTTCTGAATTCAGAGTTGTCTTTCTCCTAGACCAGTAGCCATCCAATGCTATAGAACCCAGTCTGTCCTGCTATTTACCCATAGCTGGACGGAGAGAAAGAGGATTAATAGTTTCCCAAGGTTGTTAGCACGTAAGGAATGTAATGGATTCGTCTGGAATTCGAACTCGGCTCTCCGATTCCTTAATCCAAGCCGCTATCCATTACTCCAACGTGCCACTCGTATTCGAGGATACCCGTCTACTAGGGCAGCTAGCCAATCCCTATTGCAGACGCTCGCCCAGGCACATTTGTGCTTGTTCAACACCCCCATGTCCAACTGTGGTTTATGCTGTAAGCCTGCTGAACAGACAGTAATTACAGTTTCTGGGAGAGAGCATGTTATCTAGCGTGATCAAGAATCTGAAGAAGGTCAGCACACTCAAACCCTCGGCCACGATGACTTGTGACTTCGTGCTAGCACAGCTGTCGACGGCCCCCAAGTGTTCCATCTACCCAATTTTACTCACAAGGCTTGGGTCAATCCGTGGCATGGTTTTCTGTCACTTTCCAAAGGTGCTGACCTCTCCAGACCGATAAGATCAGGAAGTCAACTTTCTGACAAATCAAGCTTGGTGAGATTCGAACCCGCAACTCATGGTCAGAAAGCAAACGTTCTAGTATTTTATTCTTCCAGACACTTTCAATTCCATCCTTTTGAAATATCTGAGCGCTGGTCAAATGTGGTTGTTTCTCTATAATTCGCTTTAGTTTACTTTCATCTCGGGGAAGTAAGACCTTAGAGCCTGTTCATTTGCTTCAAGTTCTCAAGTTACTTATATTCTCAACAGCTTTCTTTATCGTTCGATGATCTCTACAAAGCACCTTTGAAATCTCCAATGTGGACATTTCTTCATGAATAACTTTGTTATTTTTCCGATTTTTAGCAGTTGTTAGACCCTTCCCTTTACCCATGTTTCAACATATATTATGGATAAAAATTTAAAAAAATGTTTTATTACATTTCAGAGGGCTTAAGCTAATATTAGTTTAATCTGCATACTAAATTCAGTCAGTACATTTTCGTAAAATCCAAATATCTAAAAAGAAAAAAACACTAACCATAAAAAACTACAAAAGATTTAGTTAAATATTTTTTACTAAATGGAGGAATTTAAATTTGAAAAATATTAGTTCGGAAGTTTTTGAGATATTGAGGTTTATTTGATTTGCATAATATTCAGACAGGCTGTATATATATATATATATATATATATATATATATATATATATATATATAGAGAGAGAGAGAGAGAGAGAGTCTGTCTGAATATTAATATTATATTATTATATATATATATATATATATATATATATATATATATTATTGACAAATTAAAAGTTTTCTTGTAACGTCTTTTCTTTTAGGACAAACGCGTTATATCGTCATACATTTCTCCCCAATATTGTTCTTAATATGGAAAAAAAAATATATTCTTTTGACGTTATATATATATATATAAATATATATATATATATAATTGGTAATGTCGTTTTTTTGACGTTCAACTTAACGTCTATTATGCATAACCTATATATATATATATATATATATATATATATATATATATATATATATATATATATATATATATATACTTAATAGAAATCTTATAAGTATGAGAAACTATATTCGCTCGAAAACCTTCGGTGTATTGATTTGCAAATAAACAAGCCAACACCAAAGGGAAGAAAAGGTATATAAAAAAAGAAAGAACCAAGAACATGTACGTTAAGCGACAATAATCGCCCAACAGACGAGTTCAAGGCCCAAAGAAAAAAAAAAACCCGATGCAAGTATCCAAAACAACTAAATAAAATGCTCAATACAATGAGTAGAGCAGACCTAGTCAAACCTAGTGAGCCAGACAAACCTACGAAGGTTTCACCCAAGCGGATCGTTAGGGAAGGCTGACGATCTGCTGAGGTGAAACCTTGGTAAGTGTGTCTGGCTCTCTAGGTTTAACTATATATATATATATATATATATATATATATATATATATATATATATATATATGTGTGTGTGTAACCCGGATATAAGAGACCTGGATATAAGAGAAACCCGGATATAAGAGAGATTTTCTCTGGTCCCAAATTAAAGCCTGTGTTAATGTATATAGACCAAACCCGTATATAAGAGAAACCCGGATATAAGAGACTTCTTCTCCGGTCCCGACAACTCTCTTATATCCGGGTTATATATATATATATATATATATATATATATATATATATATATATATGTATATATATTTCAGCAGTATATTTTCATTAAGGCAAGTTTCGTTAAATAATTTAGACATGTTCTGTCTACTTATTCTCGATAAGAGATAAGATTCTTTCATATTCACGATTAAGATTTTTTTGTCTGCTTATAATATGTGCTTAGACGAGAGGAAAACGCCGTGCTGGTTCATATTGTATTTATTCTTTGAGTTCTTTTGGCATAACATAATGTCATCAGCAGTGTATTATTAATTATAGGCTGAGTATTGCAATGTTCATGGTTGCGAAAGACAAACATTTTTGTGTTAACTAAAAGTTAACTGTCATATATATGGGGCCAGGAACGCTGTATCATGGCATGTCTAACATGCACCATTTAAAGTGAAGTAACTATGCTGAGGAAAGATTTTCCGATATGAGTGGTCGAAAAAATAAAGGAAAGAACTATTAGTACGAACATTGACATTTAAAAACTATCTATTTTACACATTTTAAAATGTTTGTGAGGTATCCATAATTAATCTTATTAAGGTTTGGTTTCAATATTTTGATATAAATAGCTTCAAGAAATATTGAGTTTGTGTTTATTCTTTTCTTGGAAAAGTATGGAGGTATTTTTGACGAGGATTTTTCTGAATTATGGATGTGGACAGGTATGTTGTAAATGTTTAGAATGTTATTTAAATGAAGACAGCCTACGTGAAACGCTATTGTCGTGTGTCCAACATAGATAATATTTTTTTCGTTGCAGATAAAATCTCCCAGGGCATATCTAAATTTATAAACAATGTTGGTTTTCTGCAACACGCTAGTGTTCAGGAGAAGAGTTATTATGAATGATGTTATTACATACAATGGATTTAGTGTAGTATATAGTTTATTTCATTTTTTTTTAGTCGGATCTGTTGTGGATGTATTAGTTTTTATTAATTTTTAGGATATTTTCGCCTTGTTTATAGTTAGCATGAATTTGGTTACGATATAAAAGGTTAATATGTTTAGGGTTATTTGGAGGAGTATTACGTTCTATTTGTTTAGTATAAAGATCTCTAGTGGAACATTTCATTTGTTCATCAGCAATATAATTAGGGAAGTTATTATTGATGAGTGTTTTATATTTTTTAGTTTGCTGTAAAAAATCTGTTTTGTGGATGAATTAATTTTTGAACGGTTTATAGGTTTTTTGTAGTAGTTTATACATTTGCTCTTATAATTAAGGGTACAGGAATTTCTGCTGGTAAGTTTTTTTTTTATGTGGATAGATAGTGAATTGTTATTAGTGTTTATCAGTATATCGAGTAAGGGAATTTTGTTGCTACTACTAATTTCATTAAGTACATTAAGTTTACATATGAACTTCCCTTCTTCGATATAATATATATGTATATATATATATATATATATATATATAATATATATATATATATATATATATATATATATTTATTCGAAAAATTATATAAATATGTTATAATCCTTGTTAAAATAGCCATTTTGTTTCAACACTGGAGTTTTATGAAGTAATAGTGTTGAATGTCGAATAAAGGGTTCAAATCGATCAAACACCCCAAAAAGGGGGTGTTTGATCGATTTGAACAATTTAAAACCCCTTATTCTACATTCAACACGATCAATTGATAAGACACCAGAAGTATTGAAACAAAATGGCTATTTTTGCAGTGATTTTGTAACATATTTATGTTATAATTTTCGAATAAATTATATTTGCTCTACTCTGTATTGATCACTCTTTTCTTTCTAATTTTTGGTTATTGGAATTTATTCCTGTATACACTATACTTGGATATATATATATGTATATATATATATATATATATATATATATATATATATATATATATATATATAACATACATAGATAGATTAGATAGATATACATATACATGAGATAGATAGATAGATATGAACACACTTGAGATAGATAGATAGATAGATAGATAGATAGAACATAGATATGAAACAGATGAGATAGATAGATAGATATGAACACACTTGAGATAGATAGATAGATAGATGAGATAGATAGATGATGTGAAGATACTTGAGATAGATAGATAGATAGATATGAACATACTTTAGATAGATAGATAGATAGATATGAACATACTTGAGATAGATAGATAGATAGATAGATATGAACATACTTGAGATAGATAGATAGATAGATAGATATGAACATACTTGAGATAGATAGATAGATAGATAGATAGATATGAACATACTTGAGATAGATAGATAGATAGATAGATAGATATGAACATACTTGAGATAGATAGATAGATAGATAGATAGATAGATAGATATGAACATACTTGAGATAGATAGATAGATAGATAGATATGAACATACTTGAGATAGATAGATAGATAGATAGATATGAACATACTTGAGATAGATAGATAGATAGATAGATATGAACATACTTGAGATAGATAGATAGATAGATAGATATGAACATACTTGAGATAGATAGATAGATAGATAGATAGATATGAACATACTTGAGATAGATAGATAGATAGATAGATATGAACATACTTGAGATAGATAGATAGATATGAACATACTTGAGATAGATAGATAGATAGATAGATAGATATGAACATACTTGAGATAGATAGATAGATAGATAGATAGATAGATAGATTAGATAGATAGATAGATAGATAGATAGATATGAACATACTTGAGATAGATAGATAGATAGATAGATAGATAGATAGATAGATAGATAGATAGATAGATAGATATGAACATACTTGAGATAGATAGATAGATCGGAGAAAATGATATATAAATGAATGTTATATATACCAGAATAATGTTTAATCATCCTTCCCTATCGCAGTTCTGCCATCCTATAGTCATATCGAGTTGAAACATCGGTTTTCGTATGATCGCTGAAGTTAATCAACGTCGACCCTGGTCAGCATCCTAGATGGGTAACACTTTGGGAAGATCAGGTGCTGTTAGCTTGGATGTGCGGGTGATGTAATGGATAAGGGTCTCGAAAATTGAAAATCCGTGACATTAGTTCCAATTCCAGTCGGAATTTACGCGTAAATGCCCTTGCCAAAGATACGAATCTCACACCTCACACCTACGAGTTCATTAATATTACTCTTTACTGTTAATCATTACAATCTCAAAAACATATTCTTACGATCTATTAATACGTTCTGGCGCAAAATGTCCTGCAAACGGTTGGTAAACCTTAAAAAATTCAATGAACTAATCAATCAAAATGCACACGTTAACGCAGTTAACGTCTATTCCTCTTCAGTGTTTCCTGTAAGTGTCAGGCTTACTACTACATCAGGTTGAATCAACAGTTCCCGTACGATCAACAAAGTTAAGTAACGTCGAGCCTTGTAACTATCTAGATGGGTGACTGCTTGGGAATACCGGGTGCTGTCAGCTTTGATATGCGGGTAGTGTAATGTATAATGGCTCGGAATTGTTAATTCGTAGAGACAAGTTCCAATTCCTGTTGGATTTGTCAAATTGACTTAGGCGTATATATCTTTGGTAAATGTATGAATCCTCGCAGTTATTTGTTAAATAGTAAGACTTGTATCACAAAATCATTATTATACCCCCTCCACAAATTCTTGCAATCTAAAATATTTAAATAACATGCAAAAAGTTGATCCATCAATCAAAAACCAGTAAGTGTCAAAATTGCCAAACTTTTTTTATCATTATATGTTCTAGAAAATTCAACTATTTCTGATTCTAAATATAAGGTGGCCAATAATAGCATATATTAGGTTGTTTAATTAAACGATGTAACAATTCTTGTCGGTTTATATCAAATATGTCTTATACGTAAAAAAAATGTCATAATAAATTAATAGATAAGTAGACATAGATCCAATTTGCAGTTGAGTCAAAAAATAGAGATGGGTTCAGTTTGCTCAGTTACATATACATCGAATTTATCCTCGAACGTGCAAGTATTCATCCGGAAGATGGCCGATTGTGTAGGTGGGGGACTTACCCGTCTAAAGGTAGGGGATTGCAATATATTTATTAACGTGATTTGAGCAAAGAGGTTTCAAGGATGACTTGAACAAATATGACATGACTAAATAAAGACGCCCGGCATAGTAGTTACAGGTCGGGAATCAAGTGGTTAAATAAATACATGACATGAGCTGACATGGACTTAGAAAAAGAACGCAAATGTAAAGTGACCAGTAATCAGTCAGGCTCAGAGTGCATTCCTGCATCAGGGTGCTTTCACGCATAAACCTTTGTCCTTTCGAACGCCCCGCACTGCGGACACACAATTGGTCACAAGAATTGAAATAAGGAAAACTTGTTTCCCTGGTTACCCTCTCTTTCTCTCTGCACGCTTCGTTTAAGATTCTGGAGTAATCCCATGGTTGTTTGAGGAAGGGTATTCGCTACTAGTGCTCTTTCTATTTTATTGCAATCATTCAGTAAGTAGGATGTGAGGTTAGTCCAACGTTTATTGGCGTAGAATAGTATAAATAGTGAGGCGAGTTCAAATTACAACCGAGTCAGTTGTTTTCACTTCGCACTAATGCCATTGGTAAAGGAATGAATCAATTTCTTCTAATAATTACGAGTCAAATAGCACCGCAAAATGACCGATCTAGCCTTGATTGGCATCCAGTCTAAAAGAAAAACGGCTCTAAATTTCAAACCGTGGAGAATATAACGGGAAACCAATCTTTCCCAAGATTTGATTTGATATTTTTACGGCTTCAGTCAGTTATGTGTCATGCGTGATCCACGCTTAGGCGATCATGTATCTTACGATATATTACTGACGAGGCAGATTTTTTCCGCAGTATGTTGGCATTTCTTTCTCTGGTAGACCAGTTGCTATCCAAGTTTATAGAACCCAGACTGTGCTTCTATTTACCCATAGCTGGGAGAGAAGAGGATTCATACCTTTGCCAAGGGTATTAGCACGTAAATGAATGTAATGGATTCGGTTGGAATTCGAACTCGATTCATCAATCCGAGCCACTATCCATTACTCCACGGTCAATTATTTATGGCTTTTTTAAAGCTGAAACTTATTTCGGATTGTAGGATTTTGATTTCACGGCCCAGTGTTCACAAGCGAGTTCCCATCTAAGTACTGACTGGTTTCTACCAGTGATCGACTGAGAAGCAGTGTTTCCAGCGGGATTTGATTCTTTCACAGGAAGTTTTGTTTTGTTTGTTAGTGTGCGTAATTAACGGCATATCATCTCTTTATGGGTCATTTAATGCCAAACTTTAAGTTTCTTGTGAGAGTAAGTATTAGGTTGGTGCAAAAATAATGACGTAATAATGTCGTTTTTTTGACGTATCTTTTAACGTCAAAAAACGACATTACGTCATTATTTTGCACCAACCTAATATTTTTTTCTTTTTTTACAAAAATCTATTGCTTTTTTTTTCTTTTACAAAAATCTGTTGCTGATAATTTATTTTTATTTTTTGAGCTCAGTTTGGGGGTTCATTATCTGAGACCCTAATAGTTGCTACATCCCGGGTCAAGGTTGACCTGAAAACAACAGCAGTTAAGGAATTGTTCCACGCTCTTCAACCCCCCCTCCCTCTATCAGAAGTTATACTGCTGGATGTAGTTTATTGTCATACTCAGGACGAGGAAGTTTTGGTAATCTATACATAACGAATAAAAGATATCCGTGGAGAGTCATGGTCGCCTATCTCTTAAAAAATATCTGTCTGAGCCAATTTTTCGTTACTGAGAATCAACATGCCACTCTCTCGTGCGGATTTCTGGCAGATGTCGTTAGTTCATTGAGAAGTAAATGAAAATTAAAGCAGTTGGCTTTGCAAAAAATAATAATCAAAGGAAAACTTTAAAGCCAGGAATATCTTCACTAAAAGATCAGCGGCCATCAACGAGTGTACAGGATATGACGTATAAGGAAGGGAAGCACTTATCCACTTAAAACAAAATTCGCCATTCCAGAAGACAACATACACGTGAGAATAGTTAGTGGTACAGCGAAAGAAACGTCAGGATAAATTTTTAAAAATAGATGTTAGTTTGAATGAAACAGAATGCAATGCTTATAAAGGTGCTGCGCTGATGATGTAACACTCGAAAACGCAACTGTTGGCTTCTAGATTTTCTGCTATTTTTCATATCAATATTATTCACTTATGTTTTTCAATATTATTATAATTAACTTAAAAAACAATTGAAGATACTTACAGTTCAAATTACTCTTCTTTTATGTGTCTTGTCCCTTCAGGACGTGGGGATCATGGCGCTCCACAATGTCGTATCCTTTTTAGATCTTAGTAAAGTTTGTATTTTCACTACCCCTACTAGTCCCTGTGCTGCCATCCATTCGCACAAGTTTGTTAAGTAGGTTATTCGCTCTTCCCCTATGTCCCTCTTTATGTCTTGTGAGTGTCGCATTCTACAAGCCCTCTTTTCTCATTATGTGTCCTAGAAATTACAACGGCTACAATCGTCTTTATTGGTTTCATTTTCTTGAAATGTTCTCCAAATTCACCTCTTCAGTCGCTAGCATTATCAGTATCCTCCTGTCGAATCAAATTTCTTTTGTCTCAAATCAGATTTTTTTTTATCAGAGTAGAGATGGTTCATAATTTACTGCCATAAAGCATGACCGATATTAAATAACAATACTTTTGTTTAAATACTTAATTGTCAATCTCAAAATATGCAATTCTGCAATAGTTTCATAGAACTGCAATGAATTATTTCCCCGCTTTTCACATGTATGTATATATATATATATATATATATATATATATATATATATATATATATATATATATATTAATTATTTATTTAAAAATATGATTCCAACTCGTGACATAAGAGGTCTCATGTTTCAAAACAAGAGCCGAAAACTTCAATATAATTATTTGAATTAAATTGAGTTAAAGTAAGCTCTGTTCCCTCTTCAAGCGAATTTTTTTTTTTTTTTTGAATAACGTATTTCTGAAAATTATGTGTTTTAATAATTGAAATCAAAATTTCCATGGTAACAGCTAGGGCGAATTGTTTAAATTGGGTAGGCGTGTGTTGGGTGTTAATAATAAGTATCAGTATAGAGTTACTTTCATAGATGTCAAGTCAGGGAAAGATGGGGGTATATATATATATATATATATATATATATATATATATATATATATATATATCTGTGTAAAAATTCCAGATAAAATATAACTGTAAATTACAATATGAATAAAGACAAAATGAAAACTTATCTTAGCCGATGTGTTTTGTCTTCAGTGAGACGTTATAAAGGCAAACGCAAGGATTTTTTGTATCAAGTATTTATATACAAGAGCAATATTGTTATTGGTTTTACAAAATTTGTGAGTTGAGGAACATTCATAGGTATTCATCAAGTAAAAGACAACGGTTGGCATCAGGTTATTCAAAATATATAACACATAAATTAATCCCAAACTAAATTAATTTAAATACTAATTTTCACAATCAAATTCTAAAAAAATTACTTACTTACCTACTTTTATTAGACATTGAATTGTATCACTTCATGTCCAGCATAGCTTGTTGTGCTGCTTGGCATTCGTGCCGGAAGCTCCAATACGAACATTTCCGAGTGTTTGTGTGTCAATCTGAGGACATTGCAGAGGATTCAGAAAGACTTAGATGAGTCTAATGGTGATTAAGAAGGTACAGCATTTTGTAAAACTCACTTATCATTCTGATAAGGAAAACAGTCCTGAATTTGCTGGTGACTGTCCCAGGCTAACGGAGGCTACATAAAGTGCCTTGACGGGGTAGTGCTATCCTGGGTCAAGAGGGTGCTTACTAGAAGACATTATGTC